GGTTAATTAGGTTAATTAGGTTAATTAAAGTGTTAATTAGGTGTCAACGATAGCCATGTGAGGTGAGTATCAGTCACATCACAAAAGCCTGAATTTTGCCTGAAACTCTCAGACTGAAGAAGTCTCTTGGAGAAGAGACGAAACGTTTCATTAGAGAAGAACCCGTCCAGAAGACCTATACAATTTTTTTTTTTTCTGTGGCCATAGTATTTGCAGAGGGAGTTTAGTCACGTGATCACCATCTGTGTTTACATTCCTCAGAGAGCAGATGCAGCCACTGCTTGTGAGAGGATACAGCAAGGCTGCAGAGGCATGTATGATCATTTCTGACCTGTGCCATCGGCAAAAATATATTTTTTGTTTTGTTTTTGTGGTATTTTCTCAACCCAAAAGCTTGCTGATGACATATGTTTTATCGAACAATTTTACAGTTCAGATTAAATGACAAAGACAGTATCATATGATGTTTTCACATGTGTAGTTTTATAACGACGTTGTCAGTTGTCGAATGCTACTCTGCTGTGTTTGATCCTAAACCTTAGACTCTAAGGTTTAGGATCTTTTAGGATCTAAGGCTTAGAGCTTCGGTTTTAGCAAGAGTGCTTTGTTTTTTTATGTCCCTGCTTCTGGGAGATTTATTCTCTGTTCATWACAAACTTATTTCAAACCATGTGCCAAAACATGACTTATCTGTAGGCTATCTGCATTAGGCCAGTTTACTGACAGTATTATTGTAAATCTTTTRTGATCATGTTGAAAAATGATCCAGGCTAATGAGGCAGAGTTTTAATGACTCACACTCTGACCACTTGTTTTGTTCAGCAGCTCACTGACAGCAAAGCACAGATTTATTGTTCTATGTGCTTTTCATCCACACCTGTACAAACATGAAACAGTCCTGCTGTCTGCCTTTCAACTCTGTTCACAGAAAAGATTGAATTATTTTGTGTAAAGCTCTAGAAATCTTCAGAATAAATCAAATCTAAAAGCGCTAAGATGCAAGGGTCAAGTGTAGAATGGAAAGAGCTTTGTATTGATCTGTTTTGAACCAAACAGCTTGTAGCTGTAAAATGGAAAGAGTGAAAGCCTCACAACACTCAACAACCGTACGGCTGATCCTGTTGTCTGCTGAAAGAGAGAGACACAAGTTGGTATCTGAAATCTGTCGTTGTTGTTGCTTCTCTGGCCTGAAGGTCAAATCAGTTCACGATGAAATGAGTTCTTTACAGAAGCAGACCATAATACCTTACGAGGGGTGTTCAACTAGCAGCCCCCCACTGGGTGACTTCCATCACCRCCAAAAAACAAAAAAGTATTAAATGTACACAATGCAATGGAGGACATACAGTATTTCAAAAGGCTTTTAGGGTTAAACAATGTATGCTGTAGTTCCAGTAGGGTTTTTATTAGACTAGCTAGTCAGAGGGTGAAAAGTTAAAATAGTTAATTAAATAGATAATTATTAAATGAGCAACTGATCTTATTTTACCAGTTTAGCTTACAAATAAAAGAGTGTTTTCCCATTAAACATTTGTATTTATACTTACACTGTAAAACCTGATAAGTTATTTGAACTCAAATGATTTGAGGAAACCGATTGCCATAAATGGTTTAAGCTTATTAAACCAGAGGTTCTTAACCATTTTGACCTCGGGGCCCAATTTGTTGAACATAAAGTGGCGTGAGGCCCAGTCACACATTACCAATGTACGGA